TCAAAAGATCAAATTTTTGAAACATTGTACCATGATTTTTCATTCCAGGACTTTGATTTCTTATTTGTGACCGTATAATTTCGATATATTGTTAAATATATAAATACCAATTTCAATGCACAATTTTCGAAAAAAAAAATATGGGTACATATACATGCATATGTATATTTCTAACATTTACCAGAATACGTTTTTACAAAATATAAATGCTCCGATTATAAAGCAAAGTTGTTATTTGTTTCATATAGGATCTATATTCAATTTGTTACAACGATTGTAGCAACACGGAAGGAATACATGCAACCCGATATATATATTTTGTTATTCAGAATTGTATTCTATTGCAAATGAGGAAGATCTTCTACTGGAGTGTTTAGCTATCACAGAAAGAACATGCTCATATCTAATAACATACCTAAAACTGATCCGGATTTGCTGCTTATTGTTCGAAAGTTTTCGAGAAGCTCTATTTTTTTTCAGTGACATGTTGAAAATTGTCTACGTAATTAACAGTAAACTGAATCGTTATTAGAGATTTATGATTCGGTCAAATAGAAAGTATGTATATTCATTATTAGAAAGTACGAGAAAACTGACTTTTTGATCATACTATGCTCACATTCAAAATAATATTTATGATACACACATAGATTCATACACTCATAAAACATTAAGTAAAAATATAATTATTATGTTTATATGTAAGTATATCGAATATAATATATAAGGTATCATCACTAACAGCAGTATCATTACAAAGATCACTGAGTTTTCATAAACAGAGATAAGAAACTAAGAATATATTTATTAAGCGAGAACTTTCCAAGCCTTTAGGTATATGTATATAAAATAATGTATATAAACCTAATTATATATTATGAATTCACATATATATATACTTATATATAAATATATGATGAACTTTTATACTCTTTAGAACATTTAGTCATATTATTGTGTGTGAAATATGAAGAAAAGAAAATTTTTGCTTTTCAGATGACGGCGGTGTAATTTGTAATTTATTTTGTGTTTTTTTTTTTCTTGTACTTTATCCTATTAAAAGTATGTTAGATATGCATGTGAAGGATATAATAAAGGATTCAAAAGTTATCAGTTATATGTGTACCTATATACATAAAATATATTTTATACATATATGTTTATTTAAATTTATTTGGTTGGTGTTACACATAATATCAAAATATTTGAATATTGTGAATTTAAAACTTTATTGTATGCTTTTTTACAGATACACACACACACAAAACACTTACGTATCGCATATACAATTTGTATCTAAATAAATTTTAATACAAAGTCGAACCAGTGATGCCATGAAACAACTCCGAATGTAGAAAGTTTTGGATTTTTTATGCTTAATTTCATATTTATTTAATTTTAAAAGACAAAATGTGCTTTAATAATAATAAAAAGATAAATAATAACGCTTTTGGAAAGTTTGAAAAATGTTTAGTTGAGAAAATAAAATAAAATTTTTTTTTTCGTCTCAAGTTTTTTTTTTTTTATATTAAGAGGGTAATTTTCACAAAATGTAAATTTGAATAATATTTAATTAAAATCTGTTAAAAAAGACAGCTTTTTTTGCTTTACAAATAAAATGAGCATCTTATAAATTTGAAGAAAATATAATATAGGTTAAAGCACAGCAATTTGCATAGCTTTAATATTTAGGTAATGATGATTTTGGTTTAATATGTTAGAAAAACTAAAAAGAAAATTAATTAACAAAAAATTTCAATTTTGTTACCTTGTCATAAAATGAATTTTTCAATTTCAATTTTGGTTTTTATGTAAATTTAAAATTATTATTCGAGTTTGTAACTAAAATATGGTCTTATAAAACCTTAGTTATACTATGTACTAAGTTTGTTTTCATATGATATACATGCATTTATATTATAATATAATGCATATAAGAGTTTTTTGAGTAATAAAAATAAATACGCCATTGTCTATGTACGCAATGCGAGGTGCATTATAATATTGTACCTTCGACTGAAATATTCAAATTTTCATAAAAAATTGCATATGCGTAGGCGACTATAAGTACAATGTTATTTTGTATTTCATTTTGTAAATATTTAATGTCAAAAAGTTAAAAAATTATTAGAATGTTGAATAATATGTTGGATTTGTACATAATTTTTTAATCTGGACTATAATCAGTGATTATCGGCAATTTTAGATATTTTTGTCATATATTTGCGGAAATTAATTTTAAATAGCGAATAATTGCAAATAATTATATATTGTTATATATAATTAATAAAATAAATTTTGGAAACTTGGATGTCTAACTTCGAACTCGGCTCAGTTACACACAAAAAAAATAAAATTTTCAACTCAGTAATATTGGATTATTTACCGTTATCTAATCGAAAAATCTGCTACGAAGGTACGGAAGGTTTTCGCATTGGGATAATTCATTCAGGCTAGTGAAAAATTAATTTGACTGTCCTAAATAAGAACCTAATAATATAATGTTATATAAAGAAATAGTGCTATGTGGCATCAAATTACTGAACATATGGCATAGAGGCTAATTTGAAATTTAGTAGTAATTTTTTAGAATTTTCGTGTTAAGTTATAGGGATTTATTTTATAAAGCAGATCTACTATATATAACATACATATAATATGGTAATAATATTAATTTGTTCTATCTTCTATCTTTGTATTAAATACCACTATACTCGTATAATTTAAATTCAAAATAATCTCTTAGTAATATTAAAATAGGTGAAAATTAAAAATTATGTTAAGGTAGGTGAAAACATTTTTAATCCTTTACAATCAATTTTATAAGCTCTTACTTGCGCTTAGAAATTTACTACTTATTTTCGTGAACTTTTTTAAATATTTATGAACATACATATACATTTATATCGTAAACATAGGATATTTAAAATCTATGTATAGTAAAAGAAAGTAATTGTAAAGTAAAATTTGTATTAAAATTACCTTCACGAGGTTAAAAATTATTCAAATAAAATACAAGTAGATATTTTATTTTATTGCTAAGTTTTATAAAGTAGTAACAACATTAGCTATGTGTACATGCACTGCTACTTCCATTTATTATAATCAAGGTCGTCAGTATATTTGTACATATTGAAAATTAAATATTTTTTTTTTGTGTCAACATGTAAAATACATTTCTTACGTGATCTAAATAAGGATTTTTTGACAAGACATATTCTACCGATTTGACATGCTTTAAATGATATTTTCTTTGATGTGACACAAGACAAGATGAAAAAAAAAATGAAATAAAAATTTTAAATTTTAATTAGAGTAAATTCTTCATAAATAATTTGTGCTTAAGAATTTCAGTTCAAGTGAAAAATTTTTTTGTGGTTTTTGCTGTTTTCTTTTTCCAAATAAACTTAAATTTCAATCGTTTTAATTTTTGACAAAAATATTCTTGGTATAAAATGTTATGTGAAAAAAATGTCAATTTATTCTTGTAAAAATTTTTATTTATAAAGTGAATTGTCAGAACGTGACTGTTTAATTGACAAAAGAAGAAAATAAAATCTAATTTTCTATATAGGTAAAAATTGTGTCAATAAAATTGACAGTATTTTTTTACTTTGTATAAATATTTTATTTTAAAAATTTTAGTTTGGTTTTGCATATTAAAAACGTGAAGAATTATTTTCTGTTTTAAATCTACTACTCTTACGGTGTTTCTCATAACATTACACCATTCTACACAACGCAGTTATTAAAACCATTCTGCACGAATTTGCCTTTACTTTTTATAAAGAAAATTAATTAGAATAACGTAATTGATTAACTTATAAAATTCCGTAATATAGAATGACAGCGAAAGAATGAATCGCTAGAATATAAACGGATAGTACAATGTCAAAAATGAAAATGCATTTTACCAACTTTTTGACTAATAAATAAATTTGATGTCGGGCATCATTAAGGTTTTCTTTATATTCTTTCAAATAGGATGAACAAATGAAATAAAAATAATTATTATTTCATGCTTGCCATCATGATTCGTACAACAGCTTCGACTCCATTCCAAATATTTTTAATTTTGCTAACAAAATTGCGGCTCTTTGTTTCTTAATTTTCTTTGCGAAAGAAGATACAATGGTGTGCATTTTGATTATTATGGATTATAAAATAATAGTTACATAATGTGCTTTATAGCTTGAAACCTATTCAGTATATCCATTGCAATGTATTCAGATAGTACATAAAAGTGTTAAGTTAATTAGTTTTTCTATCGAATATTTTTAACCAATTTTTACCGCGAAATATATTCAATATGAAAAATACCTGTTATAGTATATTTTACAATATTGTAGATTCCTCGATAAACAAATTTTTATTTTTTTAATTTTCCATGAAAAAAACAATCTTGTGGTTACTTAAACCACATATGATTAATGAAATTACATCAATCGCTTAACCACTCACATATTTGTCCTGTTTTTACTTTTTTAATTTTTTTTGTTTTGCAAAAATTTACCTTGGTGCATGTTTAAATTGCATATAATACGCATATAAAGTGTAATTAAATTACATATACAAAAATTTAAATAAACAAGGAGGTGTAGTGAAAATTGATTTAAAATTAAATCTCATGGTTAATCAATATGTCACATAATTGCACATTTTCCAGGTTTGATTATAAGTTGAACATGAAAAAACAATGACAAGAATAAATTTAAAAATATTTTCCTGTATGTGTTATACCATATAACAATTAATATAATATACGTATATGAAACTATGTTATTATTAAAATAATGTGAATTGAATGTATAAATTTAAAGCAAGTGAAAGCTTCAGCAGTTTATTTAAGATTCAAGTATTCCGTAGGAAATCTCTACACTATCTTTATAAAATAAAAACCATAAATTTAAAAACGTGTGTATATGAAATTAAATTTATGAGAAAAAGGATTTACTATTCATTAAAATTATAGAAATTATTATAATATATATAAAATTTACCTGAAATCCATCGTATGTCCAACTACCAAATTTCATAACACACGTTTGTTCATCAAATGGAAAATATTCAACATCAATTTCACATGAGCTCTTATAAATAGCTGGAGGGCGCCATTCAACACGTCCTGTATAATTTAAAGTTGCTTTAGTTGCAAGTGTTACTTCAAAATTACCATCGGCACTGTTGCAAAGAAAACAAAAAATAAAATTATAAACGAAACAAAAATTTATATAAAAAGAAAAACAATAAGAAAAAAACTTATTAGTAAGTCGAAAAGAAAATGAATTCAAATTAAATTGAGTAAAAAATTTAAAGACCGCCTAATAATAAAAAAATTTTTGCTTACACATATGTAAATTCCTATTATGTATATACATACATAGTATATAAGTAGCTATATTATTGTTGAACAATGTATAGACAAAAAAATTTAAAAAAAGAAACAAGAACAAAAAAAATGTTTTTTGTTTCCTGTACAAGTACGTTAAAAATAATCCTTGAATAAGGATGAAAAAAAAGGCAAAATGAATATTACAATAAGCAAGCAAAAACGAATAAACAAAAATAAAGAGACGAAGAACGAAATAGATAAAAAGAAACAAAAATAGCAACGCGCAAAAACAAACAAAAAAACAAAACTAAAAAAGAGCACACAATGTACTTCAATGTCAATAGTAAAATCCTTCTCACACCTCTCAACATTCATTCAACATTCTTTTTGTGCCATCACTGTAGTACTTCAACTATTTCGTATCAACTACTGTTCTCTATTCAAAATGAAATTATTTTGTTTTTTTTGGATGCAACATTTCAAGTTTTGTTTTATATTTTAATTTTTCTGTTTTTTTTTTTTGTTTTTGTGTATGTTGCCCTTTAAAGAGGCTTTCAACCTTCAAATTATTCGTTCCATAAGCACAAAATGAAATGTTCTAATGTAGGGTAGGGATGCTTTCTTTCGACGAGTTAAATTGAATTGGTTCTGCATTACATAGAATAAAATAGGAGGAACAGAAAAACTTATACTTTTTCGCGTGTAATAATTTCCGATTATATTGGCGTAGTGTAAATAAAACAAAGTTCCCGTCAGAAATTAAAGTCCTTAACTGAATCAGTTAGTAAATGACTTCCAATTAGCTTTTTTAATGGATTATTAAATTTATTATAATATAAATAAGCTGTCGAGGTAAATTGAACCATTCTTTAACTTTCAGTTCAGGCTGGGCTGACTAAGCAATCAGGAAATACAAAAACTAGTAAAGTTGATAAGAGAAATTTAGTGAAAGTTAAAAACATTTAAAAAACAAGTGTTATGGTTCATATAGGTTGTATATTTTAAGGGTTAAATGACGCTATTTTACATTTATTTCAATTCCTTCAAATTAATGCCCTACCGCACTTTAAAATACTGAAAACTTCCTGTATAAATTTTATAATAGTGTTCGGCACGTACACCATATAGTTATAAAATTTTATTTAGTAAAAATAAAAATTATTTCTATTTTAGGAAATTTTTTAAATGATAAAACAAAAAGTATAAAAACTACGGAAAACCAACAAAAAAAAATAAAAAAAAAAATAAAAGTTTTACGTTCAAAAATAATATGTGCTTAAATTTTATAACCACATACATACATACATACATCGATGTATAGAAATTCTCATGTAAAATTTTTTAAGTGTCTTTTTTTTCGTCATCAACATCATCAGCATTATTGAAATTATTTCAATAATATTATATAATCATTAAAATCAATAATTTTGCATTACAATGAGCTGTACACAATTCATACTTAAGTAATTCATACTTAAGTACAAGTACATTGTATTCAGCCATTATTCAAGGTACATTCATATACACATACATACTCATACAAAATTTGCTTAAAAATTTAATGAATAAATTTTATATTAGAAATAATTTTTATATAACCACAATTAAAATTTGCATTTTCCTATATTTAATAAAAATGTGTAACTTACTTATTATAAAGAACAATATCCGGCCGCCATATATGATCTGATGGTACATGTAACATTTCAACGCCACCATATTCTTTTGGTTCCCATTTTAATTTATAATCATACCATGATTGTTCTACCCAAAGATTTGTTGTCATTATTTGATTTTTTAGATTCACATCAATTAATTGTGATAATTTTAATTTAATACGAACTGATAAAGCATCTGTAACATTTACAACTGGGCGAACTAATTTATTATAATTACTAAGTAGATCGTCGTAAAGTCGTTTTGCATCAGGATTCGATGTGCTTGCTTTAACAAGAAAAACAATAAAATATTAATTGAAATTATGCATAAAAATTATGTTATGTATAAAATTTTTCTCTATAAAATTATACATAATAAGTGTATATTTGTAGGCGAATTATGTAAATGCGAAAGTAATGTTAAATGAACAGTAAGTGAAATTATATATGAGAAAATTTTGTTACTCATTTTATTATTTCAAGCATTTTTTTTTTATTATTTGTTGCAGATTTGCAAAAGAGAAACTAAAATGATATTATAAGGGTTCTTTTCTTTGTCAGCATAGAGAATAAATGACATTTTTATAAATTGTTTTATATATAGAATTTTTGTATAGTTTTGTTGCTAAAAATAGTAACATTATAAATGTCACGAGGTCCTTGAAAAAAAATTTAAAAATTAAAAATAAAAAAAAAGAACAAAAATTATAACATGTAAAAAATTATTATCTAAGCTGAAAATCCTTAAAATATGACATACAATGATTTTTCAAATGATTTTCTGAAAATTTCATATGTATTTGTGTAGAATTAGTAAGAATAAATAACTTAATTCGTATAATATTATAGTGTATGTGAATATTGTGGTTATGAATCGCAAAATCGATTTCAAAAACAAGGATTTTTGTAATTAATTACGCTTTGATTACATAAAATCATTAATAATTATAAAATAATTGTGTAAAAATAAAACAAAAAATTAATAATTGTAATAAAAAATGCTCAATATATTGCAATTTTTGGAATACTAATTCAAAAATATTGATTTACCGTGCGAGTTTAAGAATAGTTTTCTAATTATTTAAATTGAATATAACCTTAGCAGAAAATTGAATTATTAAAAGGTTTTGAGGTCTTGTTTTCATTACCAGCAATATTAAAACTTCATGAAGTATTGATTGATTAAGTTTCATTAAAATTATATGTGATAGATAATTATACAATGTTATATTTCTGCCATAGACAAAAATTTGAATAAATATTTTAAGATGTTAATTCAACGGGGATTAAATTTTTCAAACACTAAATCAATCAATGAAATTTTTGGACATCTTTTAAACAGTATCATTATTCTACCATATTGTAGTAGTTACTAACCCAATTATATGTACTTAAATTACATGTAGGCAAACCGCAGATTTGTAATATGAAAAGTGATTTTTGAATGTTTCTTAAACGAGTTTAGATCCAACGAAATGTAGTATATTCTCCTTCAACAAATGATAATTCTAATCTTCAATAAAAAGATATTTTGTTCAAATTACTCTCGTTTGTACGAAAATATTTAAAATTTTTAAGTCGGTTAAGATAAATAATTTTAGTCAGTTAAGATGATTGACGCTTTATTTCTTCTTATTGATACGAGTATTTGAAGATTCGTGCAGATTCGGAAAAATAGTGCACCAAAAATGGATATTTAGCAAACTTTGAAAGATGATAACTTGGAAGAAAAATTCTTCAACTGAAATTAATAATTTATCAATATACATATGTAGAAGTTTTTAAAATTTCGAAACCCACAAATAACCGTCTTGGAGGAAAACGATATCAAGAATATTAAAAAAGTGGATTAAAGATAGTGCATAACTTTACTGAGCATTTTGTATTTTTCATCATCTGCCTGCACTACAAGTAAGAGAAATCAAGTTTTTGCTGTTTCGCTTTTTAAAGATGTTTGTTGGTTTCACACTTGGCATTTTTATGACTTCTGAGGGAGCATTATTTTTAATTTGATAATAAATTTATTAACAAAATTTGATTGAACATAAAATATCAAAATTTGCATACAAAATATTGTTGAAAATGCGCTAAAAGAAAACAAGAGTTACAATTTTTATACGGTTTCAAATTTGTATACGGTGTTGAAAATTTTAATAAAGAGTTACAATTTTATACGGTTTTAAATTTATTTCAGTTTTATTTAAAGCCAATCAATCAGAAGTTTAAGTATAATGATTGTTGGTTTAAATTAACGTTGCAGTTAACGAATTTATAATTTAATTTTATTCCAAGTTGAAATTCTTTACTTCAAGTTTAAAATTTGCCTTTAGAAACTTAATTTAATTATGAATTTCTTATTCGAAATAAGTTTAAAGTAATATTCAAATAAAATTTCAATGTTTTTAAGATTAAAATTTCAATATAAATTTAAGATTATAAAACAGTACCAATAATTTAAAATCTTCTAACTTTAATTAAAAACAAAATTCAGTCTTACTCATTAAAATTTTGTGGCAGTAGTTAAAAAGGTTCCCACAATTGAAACTTTGTTTATTTGTCTAGCATGCACCATTCAAATTTTTGGGGCTTATTTTCTCTAGAATTAAACAACATGGCCAATCATTTATCATAAAAAATAAAAATCACATTTATTTAAAATCGACACAATATTGGATTCAAATTGATTTATTTAATTTATTTTCACGATTTACTTTTTCTTTGTATAATTGAAATATTTACCTACATTCTTTAAATGAAAATTAGTAAATAAAAAGGACATAAATTTATATTTCAAAATTATATTTTAATGTCTAGACTGCCCAAATAACCTTCATTATTAAATTTTCACAAAAAAAAAGAAAAAAATTTTTTTTTCCTTCTTTTATATAAAATGTTGCATTATCGTTATTCATCATGTCTGGTACAGCAATCGTCCAGATAAAAAATGAAAAGAATCTTTTGAAATAAGGTTGCCTGATTGCCTAAGGCATAATTACAATTTTTATTCATTCTATAATTATACAAAATTCATTTCTTTTTACAAAAAAAAAAATGAAATAATAGAAAGAGAAGTATATACTAAAAAATATAAGTATAATATAATTAATAGTACGACATATTACGGTGTTACCATATTATGATGTTATTGTTGCAACTCTATATTAGAACTGCCTAAAGAAAACGAAAGTGAATTTCTAATAAATTTTATGACAATAAATAAATTTTTGAATCGAAATTTTAATTAAATAATTTTTACAGCTTGAAAAATTTATTCTTGTGTTGACAAAATGGAATTTAAATCAGCTACAAAAATTATTTCCTTAAATTTTTGAATGTATGTGGAACATAATTGCGTTTTTAAATTTTCCAATTCACGCAGAGCAGAATTTTTGATTAGAACACATTTGAAATTTTAAAAGAATTCATTTAAACTGATAGAAAAATTTCCGAAAGATTTTTTGTTTAAATTTTTATCTTAGTGTTAAATTTTTTCCATCATGCATTTAAAGAAATTATTTTGTATTTTTTATTTTCTCTACTCGTATGGTAACCCTTTTTGTAATTAAAGGTTAAGAGTTCTTTTTTAAATGAATGTTTTCTAAACATTTGTAATATGTTTTTATACGTAATCTGTATATGTACATGGGTTTTGATTAATTAATCAATAATTTCAATTAAATTTAAAAAAAAAATTTTTTTTTGTTCAGACTATTAAGTTGTTATTGACTAATTGCAAGTCTTAAAAATTGGGTTTTTTCTTTTTTAGTGGGATACTAAGGTATTAAAAAATATAAAAAATGAAAATTTTATTATTCAAATAAAAAAGTTGGAGTATGTGTGTAATTATGTATGTATATATATATGCATGTATGAGAATTGTTACATTGCATAAGAATGAGTAAACTATGAACCTAATGGTTCTGAATTTTGTTTTTTTAGAAAAAATCGAAATACAGAAAATAGAAGAGAGAGAAAAACTCGGCTTAAATATATCTAGGAATTCCGAAAATGTAGAATTCATTAACTTATGATTTCACTCTGTTTTAGAAAGTGGACAAATTTATTCGAGGTTTAACATCTTTACATATAATCTTGTTCATTTACGTAAGGAGAGGAAGTTGCCAAAAAAATATTGTAATATTTTCTAAAGAAATAGTCAAACAAATGTTTAGTTTTTCTTATATATCAATTGCTTAACATCAATTACAACTTTTACGGCTCAGGCAGATATGTAATTTTTAATTTTTCAATCAGAACTGAGAAACTAAACTTTTGCATTGATTCAAATCGATTGCATTAACTAAAAATTTCAAGTAGTTTAATTGCCTATTGTAATTTCATACAGTTGCATGTATGCACGCTTGAATTTAGATCTATGGAATAAAAATAAGCAATCAAACAGTTACGAAACGAAAAATTGCATGTCTGCCTCAGTCCTTAAATAAGATTTCCATATAGTTTAAAAAGTTTATATAATATCTTCTTATATACAAGGGTTTACAACAAAAATTTTCTTATTAACTTGTGAGTATTTTAAACTTTCTCACATTTACATTTACATAATTATTTCACATTAGAATTTCTATACTATACCTACATGTATTTTAATTAATAATTTCTACCAAAGTATAATTTTCAAGGTGTTACATAAATGCTTTACTTAATAATCAATTGAACAATTTATAATTAAACTAATTGAATTAAAATTAAAACTATTAAATTGTATGGGAAATTTTGTTATTTTATATTAATTGTTAATTAATTCGTGTGAACACAATTGAATAGAATTGAATAAGACTTTTAAATTTGATCTTATTAGTACAAGATTCTGATTGAAAGAAATAAACTATTAATTCTTTAATATTTAAATATATTTTTACAATGTACACGTCATATACTTAGTCAATTACCCTTAATTTTTATTCTTGAATAGTTCAAAAGATATAAAAATACATACATGTAAATGTGAGACTGTACTTATTGTTTTGTATAAAGATACACTCTATAATAATATATTCTTTTTCAGTTCATTATAAAATGTCCTTCAAAGAAGATTAATGTTTTAAATTTTATATGTGTAAGAATGTATTCTTAGCATCCTATGAGACTTATAATTAATAGGAATAATTATAATATATTAGTAGTGAATTAATATGAATGTGAATATTTTATATATTTTATATATTCTATTTTTTTATATAAAGGAGGTAAAGATAGAATTGCGGTTAATTGATTATTTTAAAAAGCTTAAAAATGTCTTGAACTTGAAAAATTTTTAATTTTTTT